AAGCATCTAGTTAGAAAGTTGCATGCAAAATGTTATAGAAGTGGTTTTTTAGACTTTGCCTCTCAAATGCTTCATTATGCCTTTTCATAACACAGCAGCATTTACCAGTAGTTATAAAGTTTGCAAAAAAATGTTGCGTTTTTTAAAGACTTTGCTTCTCAGCTGGTTATGTTTTCTTTCATAACAAAGCAGCATCTAGATATAAAGTAAATGCATACAAAATGTTGTAGTGTTTTTAGGTTTTGCTTCTCAGTTCGTTCCTTATACTTTTTCATAACATAGGGTCTTGGCAATGTAAATTCGTCCATAGTTCAATGAAAATAACATACATGAACAAGTAACAATATAAGTTTCATTATTTATAAATAAAGTATTATTTGAAATGAAATGAAGATGTCATCAGGGCAGTTGTTTACTTTTTGTTGGGATAACATGCATATTGTCCTGGTAATTTTCTTTCTTTTGGGTGGGTTTTGTTAGGAATCCAAAGGAATTAAAAAGTGTGTTACACTTGGCAGTTTGAACACAGTTTGGGGGACATAGTATTCAAAGACGTTCACGTTAGAAGTGCCGTCGTGCATTTTGTGTTCCAGTCGCAAACTCTCGAAGAACTGAGAGTATTCGAAAATTTGCGAGTCATAAATTATCACTATATTTTCAAAGAACATCTAATGCAACATTAATCTACCAAAACGTGGCCCATGTGATTTATCAAACACTTCGAGTCATTCATGAATATTAAATTTGAATATGGAAAAACAGGCCGGATTCTAATAGGATATTCCAGATGTATTTCGAGTCAGCCGTAATCGAGTACTTCAGAACATTGCCGCATACACGGCATGCGCCGATCTGTATTTGAGTGAATTCAGGTCCGAATATTTGGCTTTTCGCATAGTGAATGTTGTTATTTTTATTTTCTTATTTTTTATTCCTGTGTTTTTTTATGTTTATTTTTTCATTTTTTACTCTTGTTTGTTCTTTAATTGTTTTTATTTCTTATTTTAATTCTTATTTTATATTTTTTTAAATAAAAGAAGCATTTCTAGCTGATTTTCCTATGATAACAATGGGCCACCATAGTGGTGAGACGAACAATTTGCTTTTACAGAGAGTATTGTCCGCTTGTTTGGATCCAAAGAAGTTGTGGTTTGCGCTAAATTTGGCTTTGTGCAGTGGAAAACCTTCCAGGTTT